ACAATCACATAATATGTGAGCAAATAGAAAAAAGTCTCATGTTTGAATACATCACCACTTGCATGAGGAGACATCACCTTAAATAAAATCCAATGTGTGTGACTTCTTCTGTGTCACTGTTTTATTTTATGATTTTTAATTAATTTTATTGAGAAAGACATAGCAATGAGAGTTTCAAAACAGGTTAGTAAGACAGTTACAATAATTAATACATTGCACAGTGTTGTCTTCATAGTGGTTGTATTCATAGTACAAGTTGCAGACATGATATCTTTTCTAAACACTATTAGTACAAATTTTTCTTCTCAGTGAACTAAGAGAAAGTAGCTGTATATCTACCCTAACTATTTTGTATATACAGATATGTATATATATATTTTTTTTTTCACTGTAAAATGGTCTTTAATTTATATTCCCCTCTTTTGCTTAGTTTTGTCAAGATGGGTATTCCATTGCCATTCAAATCCACTGAGCTATCTCCCTAGGCCCGTGACTGCTTTACATCGTAGGTCAAAAGTCACCATTTTTATAGCCTCTCAGATCATTCAGCTCTCTTCTATGAAGTTGGAGGCCTCCTAACTTTCCTTATTGAATAATTATTAATTAACAATTATGTTGTTCATTTTTTTAGTTCTTTAACCACTGAAGTTCTTCAAGATCCCCAGAGGAAAGTTACCAATTGAAGCCAAATTGAAAACTCTTTCTTTCCCCCCAGCAAACTGATTTCCTCTCATGCTAATATGAGACTACTTCACTTTTAATTACATGCTTTAAATTCAGAGATATGGGCATACCATCCCGAATTCAAGAATCAAGATTGCCAATATCTTACAGGGCTGTATTTGATATAACATTCATCTTCTGAGACAATATTAATAGAGCACCATGTTTCAGGGGCTGAGATGTAATTGCTATCAAAGTGGGGCAAATCTGTGTAAAATAAATATAATGGAGTTCTGTTTTTAGTAAGAGTTTTGAGATTGTTACAAGAAATCACAGGATCAAAGAGGTTTACATGTAAAAGTGACTTTTAAAAATCTTCTAGTTAATTTCTCAATAAAATTAATTTTAAAAAGTCTTCTAGTTAGATGTATACATTTAATAGTGAGGAAAATCAATTAAAAAGTTTTGCCTGTTCTCCAGGAGCAAGAAGAAAGTAAACATTCCACAGGATGCAATTTCCCTGATTCACGGGTTCCTTATATTATACCCTGAGATAAAGTGAGGTGGCTATTTCTTCATTTCAGATCTGGATCCATGGATTACCTCATTCAATGTATATTTAAAGACAGACTATCTTGCAAAACTTTCCACATACAGCATTTATAAATGAAATATTGAGTAGATTTTCAGAGCTTAAATAAAAAAGGGCAACCATTTAAACACAGACACAATTTCAATAAAAGACTATGAAGTGTGGTGTGTTTCCACTGGCCTATGAGACTCGCCTTCAAGGCCAGCTCACCAGCCACACTTAAAATGCCTCCTTTTTTCCATCTGCATTCAGGTTCTCATTCAGAACATGATCTGCCAACCACATGAAGAACCCCACACTGAAGAAATTACTGGGGAAAACATAAAATAGCGTCACTGTCTTGAACATCTGACACCTAGCCTGTTGCTAGCAAGTGTTGCCAAGTCACCTGCAGAAGAACGCGTGACCTCGGGGAGCACCCAGCAATTGAGTACCCAGACAGGGAGTAAGTTTTCAGCACAGGGCTTTGCTGTGC